TTTTGTGTTGGAATGAAAAAAATTTTAAAATTTCTTCCACAATTATTCCACAACAATACGTTCATCAACCTACTTCTCGTATTAAGGAAACTTCATTAAATAATTGTGATTTTAAAAGCTTTAAATATTATGAGAAAAGAAACTATAATTTGAACAAGCTGATACAATAAAAGTACAAAATCTTTAGGTGAATGAATAGCATAAGGCTTTGTTACCTTACTTTTTGTACCAGAAGTGGCCTACCACAGGGTTTAGTTCTTATATAATTCCCAATGAGAACGTTCTCGTCAGTTTTGTTCTCATTTTGGTTTTGGTTTTGACGCGTTCTTGGGAACAAAACTACGACAATGGCATTTAGTTTCGATCATACATTTCGTTCTCAGTCCCTGTTTTAAAATATTAATATTTAATATTCTTTAAAATATACATACATACATACATATGTACACATGCATGTATGTATATGCATTTACAAAAATTAGAAGTTTGAATTTAAGTATAAAAAAAAATTTTCTCACTGAAAAAATATTTATCCTCACCAAAAAGATTATACAAGAAGCTTTATGTCGCATTACCCGGGTGTTTTTCGTTTAACCGGCACCAACATATGTATATTACCCGGGTACCCGGGTACCCGGGCAAATCGGGTAATACCCGACTACCCGGGTAATAAAAGCCCCGGGTAATACCCGGGTAACCGGGTACCCGGGTATCATCAGCCCTAGTAGACAGCAAAGTTAAATACTCGTAATACTTCATTATATAGTTTTAAATTTTTTTTTTGTTTATTCGTATAATGATTCTTCCAAACTTACATATTCTATATGTAATTCAAAAATAATTTATTTCTCAATATTTTCTAATTTTCACATACATATTTGCATTATTTTACAAATACACCCACCGATCAAGCAGTTACTTCCTGCCAGCACCACCAGCACCGGCGGCAACAGTGCTCGGCGTTGGTGTTGTTGTACTTGTTGTGCTTGTTGATGTACTTGTTGTGCTTGTTGATGTACTTGTTGTGCTTGTTGATGTACTTGTTGTGCTTGTTGTTGTACTTGTTGTGCTTGTTGTAGTCGTATTTGTTATGTACGGATCTGGTAGTGTGCTATGCGGTCCTCTTTTCTTTCCGTTCATACCTCCGAATAACTTATCAAAACACTATAATATTTATTTTTATTAAGTAGTCTTTAGTATAATTTTTTCATTTAAGAAACACTTACATCCACTATATTATCCACAGTGCCCTTGACAAGGCTTTCCACATTCGTAGTGAATTGATTGAAGAGCCCGCCCATACCCCAACTATTTTGAGATGAAGCTCGAGGTTGGCCTATTAGATTGCTATAGCTTTCTTGTCCGAAATCGAAATTTAAAACATTACAAAATACGGTTGCACAAAGTAAGCAAATTACAAGGATTTGTGTTAGAGCTTTCATTTTTTATTATATTTGTTGTGATGAATTTTTGCAACTTTACGCTTCAACGTCGGTTTGCTAAACTAACTAACGGATACTAAGTGAATTTCGTATTTATATTTCTCATTAGAAAATTTTTGGCGAGGGTCGTACGAGGCTACGTTTTGAATAATTTTCGCGTTTTCCACTATTCTCGGAATTTACATTTAATTTTTAGAAATTTAATTATTTTAAAGACTAAATAGTAAATGAGAGCCAAAATGAAGGCATCTTCTCAAAAGTCCATAACTTGAAATAGTATAAATTTGTATTTAGTATCTTTAATGTTTATGTCACAATAAAACCAATAAATGGAGATATACGATTTCGTTTATTTTCTATTGGTTATATCTTTTAAATAAGTATCAAAAATCCAAGAGTTAGTGCTAACTAGAAAAGCGATGGATATACATATCAACTGACACTTGAATCGCGTATTTTACTGTGTTGACAATAGAAACAGCTGTGCAAGTAGCTAACTCGTCAGAGTGCCTGTCTGCGAAGTAAGGTCACAAAGAAATTATAATATGTATTACACTGGCCAACAAAATTTTTCGGCAGAGCTTTTGCCCTTCAAATTATTTAAGCCTGGAAGTGCTTGGCTCTTTTGACCTGGTCTGCAGTCGAAACGACTAACACCAACTTTGAATTTAAATAACAATAGCAATTAAATAAGAAAATATATTTTGTGATTTTTAGTTCTTTATATTTTTTAAAACACATTAACAAAATATTAAATACATATTCTTTTCTTTGTTACACATATAAAATACAAAAAGTTAAATGACGTCAGAGAGAGTTACGAAGCAAAACACGATTGTTGTTGGTCGAACCGACTAAAAAAGCACGTGCAGGGTTAATTGGCGCTAGATCTTGAGATATATGGAACTAAAAGTGTTAAAACACTATTTTTTTTCGTTCTTTGTAAGCTTGGAAAGAAAGAAAAAATACTGCCATTTTATCTCGAAAAAATAGAACTGCAAACAAACACAAGGCAAACAAGTAAGAAAGTCTAAGTTCGGGCGGAGCCGAACATTAAATACCCGGCGCAAGTATTAAATATATGTTTTCCACCTTTCCGAAAGCTACCGCTACATGATAAGCCGGGGTGTATACATTTTAAGTAAATTAGCGTCCTTAAATTTCGAAATATTGAAATTTCAAGCATATCTGAAATTTACCGTTATATGAAAAGCGGCCTCAATTTTAGTCCGATTTCAACAATTTTCAACGGTTTGCTTTTATGTGGCAAGCACAATAACCATACCGAGCTTGGTACAAATTGCTAGAACGGTTAGCGAGATACATATATGTGATCACAAGTGGGCGATGCTACGCCCATTTTCCAAAATTTTGTCATAAACGTATTTCTTGGTAAAGAATTGTTGCAATCATCAATTTTGAATAAATTAGCTTCAATATTTACTGATTTATCGAAGATTTTGTATTTCTCGAAAATACCGTTATATGGGATGTGGGCGTGGTTATTGTCCGATTATAGAAATTTTCGGCCAGTTGGTATGCTGTACCAGGACCCACAACTGTGCCAAGTTTGGAAGAAATTGGTGTAGCGGTTACCAAGATATACACATGTAACCATAAGTGGGCGTGGCTACGCCCATTTGCCAAAATTTTGTAATATTCTTATTTCTCGTCTAAAACTCATTGCAAATATCAATTTTGAGTGAATTATCTTCAGTAGTTACTAAAATATCGCAGTTTTCGTTTTTCTGAAAATTACCGTTATATGGGAGGTAGGCGTGGTTATTGTCCGATTTTTAAAATTTTCAGCCATTTAGTATGCTGTACTAAGGCCAACAACTGTGCCAAGTTTGGAAGAAATTGGTGCAGCGGTTACCAAGATATACACATGTAACCATAAGTGGGCGTGGCTACGCCCATTTTCCAAAAATTTATAATATTCATGTTTTCCGTCTGAAACTTATTGTAAGTATCCATTTTGAGTGAATTATCTTCAGTAGTTACTAAAATATAGCAGTTTTCGTATTTCTGAAAATTACCGTTATATGGGAGGTAGGCGTGGTTATTATCCGATTTCGCCCATTTTCAATACCATCCGTCCCACGCCCAAAAGAAGTTCACGTACCAAGTTTCGTTAAGATATCTCAATTTTTACTCGAGTTATCGTGTGCACAGACGGACGGACGGACGGACGGACGGACGGACGGACAGACAGTCACCGCTTAATCGATTTCTCTTTTCATTCTGATCATTTATGTATACATTTGTCTATATCTATCTCGATTCGTTTTGCCTGTTACAAACAACCGTTATGTGAACAAAGTTATAATACCCTTGTGCACAAGTGCGCTCGGGTATAAAAAGCAAAGTTTTTAAAATGAAGCAACCAACACCTGAAATATTTTCATATTTTTTATCTTTTACCTTTATAACTTTCAATATACATACAGTGACTTACACAAGTGCTCGCGTGTTGATTCTTTTAAAATATTCACAACGTTTTTCAAGTTAATTTTATTATTTAGTCTCGTCAAGTGCAAGTTTCAAGCGTCTAACAAATCGCCTCGATTTTTAATATTTTTTTTTGTAAAAGATCAATTTTATAGCTTTTTTATACCACTCAAAAGCGTCTATTCCACGTCTATGTTTTCCTACAGGAGTTCAAAAAGAAACCCCAAATGACACATTAAATCCGAAATATCTCAAGATATAGGCTAATTTTATAATTTGATTTGGTCGGATGCTGATTCTACGCAAAAATAGTTCTTATAAGAAGGAATTATCACCGCTTGCGCCGCTTGCAGATGGTAAAATTGTGTTGTGCGGTGTCATTATTCAAATGAATTAATCAGCTGGGACTTAAAAAGAAATCAAGAAAACAAATTTGTTGTTTTGGGAAGTATTTGTGTGTAATTTTTTTTTTTTAAATGCTCACTTTCACAGTTTTTTTTTTGCTTTAAATTTTGGTGTCAAATAACTCTACGACAATGAATGGTAAAGTACTGTGAGAAGGCCATTTGCTGTGTTAACACTCACAAAATACTTAACACTTTATTACCTTGGGATTGGTTTACATCAGTATGTCATAAAAAATAAAATTTACTTCCTTATTTATGTATGTGAATGAACTTTGATTTCAGCAAGGATATATTTGGCAAATATGGCTAGGCCGTGTAGTGTTTCATTATCTGTCTCAAAAATTGTTTAATGTCGCTAAAATGCTAGGTAAGATGCCACAAAAACCATAACTGATTCATGCCACTTTTCGCAGATTTTTTGTTTTCGTTTCTTCCACCGAAAACTGAAACAAGTTAAAAATGCATACAGTGCCGGACAAAAATATCGCCACAGCGAATTTTTCGCGTCGCATGCAAAGTCTTTTATTCTTATTTCTTTTCGCTATTTTTTTATAAAAAATAAGTTCATACCACAACAAAAAACTTAAAAAATAAAATCTCTAGACTTTGTGCAAAACTCGGGAAAATTCAATAAATTTGCGTACTAAGTAGTTTGCATCTTTCTAATCAGATTTTTTAGAAACAATTTAATTTAACAATTTAATTTTATAGTTATTTTATTTTAGTATAATTATAGTATATACATATATTATATATTATAGTATAACAAACTGCCAATCTGAAGTTGCAAAAAACTGCATGGATTTTTGGCGAATTTTTTTTTGCGGTCGGTGTTGTTAAATTGTCGAACATAATTTCTATGGAAAAAACTGCGCAAAAAATTGCCAAAAATCAACGCGACTTTTTAGCAACTTCAAATGGGCTATAAAACTGCATACCTTGAATTTCGCTCTAAGAAATCTGATTATAAAATTGCAAACTAGTACGCAAATTTAATGATTTTCCTGAGTTTCCCAGAAAGTTTAGATATTTAATTTTTAAGTTTTTTTTTTATGTTTTAGTATAGACAATATTTTTAGAAAAAATTAGAATAAAAGCTTTATATATGTACATTGCGAAAAATTCTCTGTGCCAACATTTTTTTCCTGCACTGTATGTACATTAGGGTTGTAAAAAATATACGATAGGAACCAAAGTTCTAAATTTTAAGCTTTTACTTTCTAGGGTTTTTAAAATAGAAAAAAAAACGCTTCAAAGCCAATGAAATATTCCATGTATTTACATATATGGAAAACAGTTTTTCTAAAAAGGTATAGAATTTTTGGAAATCAATATTTTGCGATAGGAAAACTGTGTTTCTCTTCAGGAGACTTGCAATATTTATTTCCAATTTTTTATTTAACCATTTCTCATTTACGAAAAAATTTGTAATTAAATATTTGGGGATTATTATTGGAAGCAATAGTTTCGCAATCGAAAATTATTGATTTTCATTTCTACGAAGAAATGTTTTTCCCCATAAAAATTACATGAACAACTCAGTGGGCTTTCAAGCAAACATTTTTTTAACAAAAACATACGGGTAGTATTTTTTTCGTTTAGAAAACATTTTAGGGGGTGAAAGCTTAACATTTTAAAGATTTTTTTGACTTTTTGTATCTTTATTTTTGGAATATCAAAAAGCATTTAATCACGCCCATCTTGTTTTGTTTAATTCGAATATGTTGTACACTATATCTCGTGGTTATATAAAATTTATAGCTTATATCTGAAAAAGTTATGCGTAAGTACCATATAAAGAGAAGATTAAATTTTGTACAAAAAATTAACAAAAAAATTAAGAAAATTTTCTTCAAAATTTCACACTTTTTACTCACACATTACTGCAGCAAAAGACGCGAACATTGCTTTTATGGAAGAAAATTCACAACAAAAAAAAAAATTCAAAAAATCACGGCTAGGTTCTTGCTAATTTAAACATGTACTTTGTTATACTTGAAT